ATACGTATACCGTATCCCAAGTTGTCGGGTCTTTGACGGCACACCGATATGTGGATGTCTTGTGTTGTTGTTCGTACTCTGGAAGCGATGAGATAATGGTATTAGATATCAATTATACCAGCATTTGATGCACTGATTACCGACCCTTGAGTTTGTGGACTAATTGTAGGGGCAATACATCGAAGTGTCTCCTGAAGTGTACACCAATCCATGTGATGTTTTTGGACAATACTTTGTGACACAATTTGCAGACATCTTTGTGGTGAACGCGAGTGATAAATTGACGTAGCTCACTCTTTTTCCTACCCATTATTAAACAGTAACTGTTGTTTATGAAAACATAAACATTGATTTCAGTGCTATTTTGTGCTCACAGGTAGCGCTACAGTCCGCTCGTAATGTAATTTATAATTTAATCATTGATTAAATAAGTGGTAAAACTATTGAATACTGGTATTATTTAATGGTATTATCTATGAGTAATTTATTTGGGATATTTAATAAGAAACTTAATTATTAGAAATAAACCAAACTATTAAGTATGTAATCATTTTTGGACACAATTTGTCAATCATGATGTCATCATAAAAACTTTTACACTAATATTGATATAATTAAAAACAATTAATTCATTTAACACAATGAATGATGTAATTAAAATAAATAATAGTAAATAACTCGTGATTACATTTAATCATAAAATCGAAAACAAATTACAATAAATACATGAAAAATGATAAGAAAAAAGTTCATCAAGTTATAGACACTAAACCAATCACACAATGAGTTCATGGATTCGTTTCTTATGCTCTCTTAAGGCCTGTCTGTGTTTAGTACTAAACTCACAGCCCTTCCAATCGCAAGGAATGGGTGCTCCCGAGTGTGTAGTCATATGTTGTGTCACTCTTCCTCTAGTCTTAAACCGTTTGCCACATTCAGGCCAAACACAGTAGGGCTGTCCTGTGGACGACTTTGTGAGATATAATGCAGTTTTTCCATTTGGTCCGATACTCACAGCCGGGCCATTCGCACCGGTACTGATCACCCTTATGACCTCTCACGTGTGAGCTCATCCCACCTGGTTATTGGATGTATAGTCACATCCGGGCCAATGACACGCAAACACACGACTCGAATGGCTAACTCTGTGACTGCGAAGACTATTATAGCATTTGAAGGCCCGACCACATCCCGGTTCCTCACATTTCAATGGTTTGCCAACAGTTATGACTCTTTTTGTGACACAATAAGTAGTAATTGGTTGCAAAGCGCTTATTACAGTCGCGATACCGGCAAACAAATGGTTTGTGTATTGCGTGAACGCGTTTGACGTGTCAATTAAGAGTCTATTTGTTGAAAAAGCGTTTACCACACGACTCGTGAATGCAGTCAAAGCAAAGAATCTGAGAATCTGTTAGAAACACATGCACTCAATAACTCACACAATATTTTCTGTTATATTTATATCACAAAAATCTTAATTACTGCATGTTTTTGTTGCAAAACATTTTTAAAGCTAATCGTAAAAACCAANCAATTGTTTGAAGAGTTTTTTTGGATAATTAATTGAATTGTCTTTTTGTGTCTCGAATCAGATGCGAGTCAACAGAATATAGTGATTGTATTGTCGCAGAGAATCCGCAATACATTTGCGACACTATTGACCGACAAATGCAAAGAAATGAGCCCTCGATGTGAGTGCAGTCTTATCGATGTCTTCGACGCCCAGGCATTGCTGAACCAAAGCATCGGCTTTCATGAGATAGGATTAATGTGTCTAACAATTGCTAAATAAATGTTTAAATTGTATTCTAGTATTACAAACGAATTGAAATTAATAAAATAAATGCTATAAAAACGAAGTAATAATTGTCTTCTAAACAAATGGTTTTTAATAAAAAAAAGAATAAAATTTTTGTATCCAAATCGATGTTATATTTTAATAATTAAAACTTAATTAAAATATAATATAATAGAAATGGCTAAATGTTGTCCAAAAAAAGTTGATTGAATCAGGCACATTTACGGTATTATATTGTAATAGTAAGGCTTATTCCTCATACCGGTAATTGAGTTTCAAATAATTTCCAAACTATTAAATATTTAAGATATTTGTTGTAAATATGTACAAATTTATTTCATACTTAATAGTTTGGTTTATTTCTAATAATTAAGTTTCTTATTAAATATCCCAAATAAATTACTCATAGATAATACCATTAAATAATACCAGTATTCAATAGTTTTACAACTTATTTAATCAATGATTAAAATATAAATTACATTACGAGTGGACTGTAGCGCTAACTGTGAGCACAAAATAGCACTGAAATCAATGTTTTTGTTTTCGTAAACAACAGTTAGTGTTTAATAATGGGTAGGAAAAAGAGTGAGCTACGTCAATTTATCACGAGCGTTCACCACAAAGATGTCTGCAAATTGTGTCACAAAGTATTGTCCAAAAACATCACATGGATTGGTGTACACTTCAGGAGACACTTCGATGTATTGCCCCTACAATTAGTCCACAAACTCAAGGGTCGGTAATCAGTGCATCAAATGCTGGTATAATTGATATCTAATACCATTATCTCATCGCTTCCAGAGTACGAACAACAACACAAGACATCCACATATCGGTGTGCCGTCAAAGACCCGACAACTTGGGATACGGTATACGTATGTGATTACGACGACTGCGGCCTCCAGTTTGGCACATTGAATGCTTTGGCCATTCATCGAAGTAGAATCCATAGCCAAATAGCACCGGGAGTTACAGTGAGGCAGACCTTGCACTGCCATTGGCCTCAATGCCAGTTCAGGACAATGTCTGCACAACACCTGACGCTACACACGAAGAATAATCACACGACACACGTGGAGACCAGTTGTCTGTTTAAGTCGACTAAAACCTATTCGACGAACAGGTCTTCGGCTAAAAGTGTGGATAATTCAGTGAAGCGAGAAGTGGTTGAACCGAATGTGTTGTGTTTGGAAGCGACCAACTCTTCATCGGATCCCGCGTTTGAATATCAAAGTCAACGCATTGCCAGAGCATTGACTCGCGTTAAGAGTGAACCTCAAGATAGTGGTGATTAGGCTTCGAGTTCATCGTTCACACCATAACACTGGCAACACATCTAATGGCAACACAATTGTGGCAACAGTTGTCTCGTTACTCAATATATCTCGTAATAATCATTTAAATCCTTTTCATCCATTTCACTGACCATTAAAAATAAGTTATTTAACAAACATCTCGAGTCTCGCAATAATTTTATCAAATCAATGGTTTAAATACTTTACAATTAGTATTAAAGTATTAACAAAACAAAAACCAGTCACTCGACCACTCCATGCGCTCGTTTCCTATGCTCTTTGAGCCAATACTTATGTTTAGTCGCGAACTGACAGTCCGTATAACCGCAGGGAACGAGTGGTCCCGAGTGTACGATCATATGCTGGCGAACATTATGTCTACTCTTAAACCGTTGGCCACATTCAGGCCAAACACATGCGTGCGGTTTGTCTGCGCTATGGCTGGTTCTGTGCATTTTAAGCCTGTCTGACGTTCTGGTCCGGTAGTCACAGCCCGGCCACTCACACACATACTGGCACTCAGGTGTGTGCATCTCCCGGACATGAGCTCTCAAAAACATGGGGTTATTTGTGCTGTGCGTACAGCCCGGCCACTCGCACGCGTGCACCTGATCCAAGTGCTTGTATCGGTGCGACTTCAGACTGTCGGCGCACTTAAACGTGAGGTCACATCCCGGTTCCGGACACGCGATACGCGCCCCACCAGTCGAGTGAGTGTTGTATTTGTGTTGATTTAAATAGCGTTTGAGTGGATACCGTTTGCCGCACCCGTTATAATCGCAAACATACGGCTTATCACTGCTTTTGGAGTAATGAGTGGACAAATGGGTTCTCAGATTCTGTTCGCCGTAAAAGCGTTTACCACACGACTCGTGAGTACAGACATAGGGCTGAACACCATTGTGTCGATTCATATGAGTGTCCATTTCCCACTTCATTATACAGCTATAGTCACACCCATTGACATCGCATTTGAGTTGTCTGTCCGCAGAGTGTGTCTGTTGGTGTCTCTTGAGGTTAGATAACTGTTTACACACTTTGTCGCAACCAATGAAATCACATTTGAATAACTCTTCAGTTGAACCCCTTTTCATGTATTTCCTCTTCAGTGGTGTTCCGTTTGAATCGCTTTTACTCTTCATATTCCTCGTCAGCGAAGAACTTTTCAACCGTTGATTACAGACATAGTTATGATATTTTTTGAAATGTCTCTTAAGATGACTGCTATTTGTATACTCTTTTCCACAGCCAATGAAATGGCATTTAAATGGTTTTGCAGCCAAATCGCTATTATTTGATGTCTTCTTCAGTTGGGTTTCGTTTGAATCGCTTTTTCTCTTCATATTCTTCTTGAGTAAAGAAGTACTCAATCGTTGATTACTTTTCACGCTCTTTGACACCACTTCTGATTCATTTGATTCCTCACAAGTGCTGACCATTTGTTTACGTGTTGTCTGACGTGTCTTCTGATCTAATTGTTTCTCAACTTTTATGCGTTGAGTGAATGTCTTGTACTCGATGTCCAACTGATCCAACAAATCAAATGTTTGTTTATTTTTATGACAAAAACAATTGGTTTTCAAATCCAATGAATATTTTCGGAAATTTTCTAACATTTCATTCAATTGTCTCTCAAATTGTAATTCATATAAAAGTCTTTCGTTTTCTTCACTCAACTCTTCCACCAAATCATTGATCAGTATTTCAGACATTGTTTTCATAATCTGATGTCAAATGAACACTAAATCTACGGTTAATTGCATTCAAAATGCAAATCAAATTCACTTCACATTCAGTTTCACTGTTTGTCAACAAATGCACGACTTTTGCATATATTTCACACAAATTATGTCCAAATTATTAAAACTTTTAAATTCTTTAACTTTTCATATTATTATAATATTATTATATCATAAGTTAAATAACCGTAAATTAAATGATTATTTAAAAATCAAAACATTTCCCGTTCAGTTTTAACCTAAAATTCAATGAAATTATTAATACCGTACTTAAAATAATTAAAAACTAATTAATCGCTTTCACGTTTAAGCTTCTCATAAAATTCAAATATAAAATATTATAACAATCTTAAGTTTAAAGATCTAAGAATCAAATCAAATGATAATTATCTCAAACAACATCAACTTAAACACTGTCTACACATTATGTCTTAACAATGACTACAAGACAATTGCATTGAATGTAAGTATAAATACTAATAAGACAATGAATACAACAATAGTTGGCAATGAATGCAATGCGCGCTAAACCACTGAATTTCACATCAAATCAGTTGAAAAAAGTCATTCAAATAACATATAATGAGAAAGTGTCCGACAAATGAGTGAAGAGTTTTCGCCATAAATATTAATCCAGTTTTCACTGCAATCACTGCCAAAATGTTGATCAAACACTTGTGTGTAATCCTAATGCGCGTTATGGTGATTATATCCGATGATGATGTGGCGCCTGAGTTACTGGCGGACCAACAGAAGTACTACGCCTTCATAACTGTCATCATAAGTCTCGTGACACTCATTGTCTTATATCTCTTATGTCTGCCATTCCTGGGCTACTGCTATG